TGAATCAAAAATAAACCCGAACGTTAATTAATTTAAAAATTATTAATTTTTTATGAAGCTTATTGTCAAATATAATTTGTGATACTAACATAAAATTTCATATTTTCGCCAACTTGATTATTAGAGCAGAACAGATTCTATGCGACTCCATAGGTTGATGTGACAATGGTGGTGATGAAAAATACATATTTAAACTAAAATTTATTTAAGGGTGGGGATAGTTTTTAACCTTCTTGTCTCGCTTTCCGTTAAAACGAAAAAAAGAAAAACTTGATTTTTGTGATTGTCTTAAAGCACTTAGCAAAACATAGGCACCCCAAATCTGAATTAAATTTGAATAACGGTTTTTAAAATATCTTAAAAAATGTGTTTATTTTTTTAAAGTTTGATGCCCACTAACGAACAACGAAGCACTTTTGTATAGTGGTAAATTGGATCCAATGACCTTATTTTGATTCCTAAAATACGTAGTAGTTCCATGTCTACGGAATATTGGGACACCCTGTATAAAAAAAACTTTATACGAATATATAAAAAATAGAGACATAAAGGTTAATTGCTAAGATATGCAGGATAAAACAAAAGATCTATTTGGTCAAAGTCTATATGAAACAGTTAGCCTTAACAGCATAGCACAAAATCACGACCAGTGGTGTTTTAGACAGCATCCCGGTCAGAATAATTCGCTTGCCTGAATATTATAGGTATCTCCCTACAATGGATATTATTAAGAATATAGCCTTTGTACAGGTTCTGGCTGTACAGTGGCTGTTACTAAGATCATTTCAGTTTTAAAGTGTATTTTTGGCGATCATGACCATTGACTTAGTTTCTAGATTTTCATTCTGATCATTTTCATTGCAAAATATTTTTTTATTAATTAAAAATGTAAAAAAATATTAAAAAAACCAATACTTCACAATGAATAACTTTCACCGCTGCTATGATGACTGATATTCAGTTAATATTATATCTTTTATAATTAAATTTAATTTGAATTAATCATACGTTCTTCGCTATTAGATCGTTTACCCAACACCGCCAGACTTTTCTATGCAATCTACTTTAATTAATCTTTTTCAATAGCTTTTGTCCGCAATTTTACGCTGTTAACTTCCAGTCTGCGGCTGAAAAGCTCATCTAGATAGATTCTAAAACTTTCCGAATAATTAGATTGTTGTTAAGGAAAATGGAGTTTGATAATCGATGCCGATCTCGTTATTCAAATTAACTTTACAATTTCAAAATTAAGGACTGGTTTTTTATTTTCATCGTTATTTTATGCTTCTATTTTCAAGCTACAGCCGCCTAACTTCCTTGATATAATTGCTTTAATATTTTCTCTTATAGTAAATGATATAAGTGGTGTGTTAGAAAAAAGAAAAGAAAAGATTTCAGTTAACGTCTCCTTTTTGCTGCCAGGGCTAATCTGGACGGGGCCTACGTTGTTTACGCGGAATCCGAACCGCGGTCCTCGGCCATATCATGGTCAATGACCTATCGACTTGGCAAGTGTCTAAATCGACTCTTTCTCACGAGATATCCGATCTCATCCGGCCTCGAACCGGCGTGAATGAGCAGTGTGTGTCAATAGATTTTACACTTTTGCCTTTTTTTCGACAACAGCACGATACAGAGTTCGAACCGGTCACCCGTCCATCCACTAGTATCCCCTTACGCCGCTTAATTTCTGTGTTCTAATGGGAACCGGTGTTTCGACAAGCTAGGCCGTTGCCAGTGTTAGAAAACAAAGCAGATAGGCAGTGATGGGCGGTGAAATACCGAACGTGTAGGCAGAACTGCAACAAGACAGTTTTAAAAAGTCTTAAGTTCTAAGTCTTAAGTCATTTCTAAAATCAAAATGATTTAAGTCTTAAGTCAAATTCAAAATAAAGTACAAATGATGTAAGTTTCAAATCTTTGACTTACATATGTTATTTTATCTCAAGTCAAATCATTATTGTAAAGACTTAAATCAATATAACGTTATTTAAGACGTTTTTATGACTTAAGTATATATTTTCGACTTAAATCATGATGATCTGCAAGTTAAGTCAGTAAAATTACTTAAATCAATATAATTACCCTCAAGTTAAGACAACCTGAATTCAATTTCAACCTTTTTTTAAAAGTTAATATTAATTTTCTTGTATTAATTACCAATTAGCGATTTTCTTACTAAGTGTCATATTAATTTATTGTAGATACGCAGACTAAAACCGCATAAAATAAGACGGTTAATTTTCATTACAACTATAAACACAAAAATATGTTTTTTTTTTATAAATTTAACCGATTTTGTAGTACTTTATATGTATCCAATACAGATAGATGTCATTGAATTCATGTGTATTAAAAAGTGGTGATGGGTTTTGATCACTATGTAATATATCGATAGCATATGCTAAGAGCTGGAGGATTTTAAGGTATTCTTCAATATGTTCGAGATTAATTTCTTTCTTTAGTCTCTCGGGCTACATAACGGAGTCACTTGAAAGACAACAGACTTACTACGCACGCGTAACACGACAAATAATCAAAACCGGTTCGGAAAAACTAACATTTTATTTACTGGTGGTATTGGGCATTGTTTTTTTTTCTGTTTCTTGGCTGCCGCCTAACAGTTTAAAAAGAAATGCCGCTGTTAAAAATGTATCATAAAAATATATAAAAATCTGAATTTTTAATGATTTAAGTCTTTTATAGAAAGACTTAAATATTTTTAATGACTTAAGTCTTTTCTAAAAATACTTAAATCTTCTTCTATTTCGGAATAAAGATTTAAATCACAGATCATTTTCAAAAAGACTTATGTAAATTTTAAGTCTTAAGTCAGCTTGCGAAAAAAGACTTAAAAATGACTTAAGTCATTAAAATTATTTAAATAAAAAAAGACTTAAGTTTTCTGTGAGCTTGCAGCTCTGCGTGTAGTAATAAAATTTGAGTATACAGGGTGCCCCAGGCTGAGCGTGCGTTAGAAGTTTCTAGAGAACCACAATATCTAGATCGGAGATTTTTTGCACATTATTGTTTTACATCGAGATCTATCAATTAAAAATATTTTCAATATGGCGGCACTTCCGGAAATACCGGAAGTTGATAGCAACTTTCTTATTTTAAATGGGTGCCCCCATTTTTTATTACATACTTAAATTATCTGTAAAATTATATGAATATTGATGTTAAACACTCTATATCTAACATTAACCGTTTTTGAGAAAAAAAAAATAAAATTTTTCGCGAAAAGAACTACCTGTCAAAAAAATTTGTATAGCCTATAAGTCAAATTTAGTGATTACCACAGCCACTGTGACATAAAGAGAAGACATGTGGCTATCTATTTCAAAAATTAAATTGTTCAAATGTCATACAATAATGGCGGTAGCTGTCATAGAATTGAGCGTTTAAAAAATTATCATAAATAATTTTTTCCACATAGAAACCCCCTTTTTTTATTTCACTAATGAAGGTTTTTTAATTCATTACTTTTTAACTATACATGTTCCTATACCTAAAATAAATCGTTTTTAAGTTATTTAAGATTTAATTTGAAAACGTATATTTTTCTTGATTTTATCTAGCTTCCTTTGTCATTAAGTGTCAAACGGTCAGACAATTTACTTCCATCTGTCAAAAAACGAATTATTTGAATTTCCTATATTATAAATACAGTCTACCCTTAAGAGTTTAAAAAGTGTAAAAATATATCTCGTATTTTTGCTCTTTAGTGATATCTAATAGTTGATATTATTAATAATATTCCATAATGTGGTCGAAAAAAAAGCGCAAAGTTGGCTCGGAAATGATGCTGCTTTTTGAACAAAGCGTCACAATATGACATGGCCAGATCTATCGTTTTACATCACTTGACGTTTAAAATCAGAGGCTACTGGTTAAAATCAAGAATAAAGTGGGTTCCATTTGAAAAAAATGATTTATGATAATTTTTTAATCGCTCAATTCTGTGACAGCTGCGGCCATTATTATATGACATTCGAACAATTTAATTTTTGAAATAGATAGCTACATGTTTTATCTTTATGGCATAGTGGATGTGGTAATCACTAAATTTGACGTTTAGGCTATACACATATTTTTGACAGGCAGTTTTTTTCGTCCAAAAATTTTAAATATTTTTTTTATGAAAAACGGTGATTGTTAGATATAGAGTGTTTAATATCAAAATTCATATAATTTTACAGATAATTTAAGTATGTAATAAAAAATGGGGGCACCCATTTAAAATAAGAAAGTTGCTGTCAACATCCGGTATTTCCGGAAGTGCGGCCATATTGAAAATATTTTTAATGGATAGATCTCGTTGTGAAACTATAACCATGTGCAAAAAATCTCCGAGCTAGATGTTGTAGTTCTATAGAAACTTCTAATGCACGCTCAGCCTGGGACACCCTGTATGCCCATTGATATACTCATGGTGGTTTGCCGTTGCCATCCTTGAGACGACAACTGGATGGTTGCTCTATTATGTTAAACACGTAATGTTAAGGAAATAAAAAAAAATTCTAAATCCTACCTCCTTCACCATATTAAAGTAATCTGCAACATTTTCTTTTTATTTTATAGTTTCAATTTAAGAAATTTTTTACTTATTGTATCCATTGTACACTAATATTAGTTTTTATTAGGTTAATTGATTTAGATTCAAGTTCTCTTACTTGTAATAACACTTTGGTGTTGAGGAGTGGTGTAAGGAATAGCTTAAAATAAAATAAAATTAAATTATTAAAATTAAATATCTTTTAAATATTAAATATTTATATTTAAATATTTTATTTTTATATAAATAAATAATTCAACAGTATCCGTTACTTACGGGTCAGCAATCAGATTTTAGATTTTCTATTTTTTATGCAATACAAGAATATAGTAAAATGGCTCTATAACATTTTATGTTCAAAAATTCATTTGTTAGGTGTTTTTTGAATATCTATATTTATATTATATTATATTAATTTAATTTTGATTCTTGTTACTTACAGGAAAGTCTACGGGAATCGTCACGAATACCAGAATAACACATGCTACACCTGCAGCGTTGTACGGCCATTCTCCGTCCCGATATTGGGAAGACGACTCGAAAGTGCCTCCCGCATCCAGAAAGTCCTGTAAGGATTTGGCAAGGCAGCTAATAGAGAACGATCCAGGAAGAAATATAAACGTAAGTTATGCAAATTTAATAATTCAATACATGTGCGTTTGACTATTTTGGGTTGTTTGGATTAGTGATGGGATTATTTAAATTAAAAATCATTCATAATTCGATAGTGAAATTTGCAAGAAAAGGTCATCACCGGCTTCGGGTTCCTTGCTCTTATACTCATAACCAGATCTCTTCCTTTTCCAGTTAGACCTATTTTACTTCTGTCAATTATTTTGGTGGCCGGCCGTAGCGCAAGCAGTTAGTGTGTCGATCTGCGGTGTGAGAGATGGGATGGTACTGGGTTCGATCCTCAACCAGTACGGTCGCTTTATTTATTTAAACAAAAATATTGATTTCTATAAATAGAGCGACCAGCGAGCCGCCACCTTTTGCCTTGTACAGACTCCCGTTATTGTCGTATTATACGTATACAGGGTCCGGCAATAGTGCGTCGGGCATCTGTAGCTCCTAGAATAAACAACTTATAAATTTATTTCCAGTGCAAATCTATAGTATATACTAGGACTAGCAGTACTAGTATTTCAGGAAAATATTTTAACCACTACAGGGTGGCTCAAAAAAGTGTGAGTGGATTGCGATGATTTTTTTTAAATGGAACACCCTGTATATTAATGCATTTTTGGCTTCATTTTTGATCATTTTACATAATCCTAAGATATTATTAAATTTGTTTTGGAAGTTTCAGAGATATTAATAAATAAATGAAAAAAATTAATTTTTCAGCCTTTCTTAAAAAAATTGTTAAAAATACAAAAACTTGAAATAAAAAATACACCAGGTACTTACTATAGTTGGTCTGTAGTTACTTTGCTATAAATATCGTAATCTTAAGTCATACAGAGTGTTTGCCAAAAAAAAAAAATATAATATAATATATAAAATAATAAAATTCTGTGCCAAACTTTCTAAAATACAAAATAATTTTTCTTCGTTTTTTTAAATGGAACACCCTGTATATTATTTCTTCAATAGATGGAGAATTGAAAAGTGAACATTTTTTGAATTGAAAGTATTTTAAAATTTTTAACGGTTTCGCAGATATTTGGAGTATTTTTTACATATGGCTCTAGCAACGCAGATTTAAGACAAAAAATCATTAGTTGGCTTTGAAAAATAAGTCTTACAGTATAATTATGTTGTAACCTAACTTCCAAGTTATTTTAGTACCAGAAATAGATAAAAAAAACTTTGAACTGCTAAAATCCTTTAATGGCTTAACGTTTAATGAATATCCGCATTTGGCTTTCGAGAAACAGTTGTCAGTTTATATGACACAATAGTTTTTCATTTAATTCAGTTAACTGTTAACATAATTAAAAAGTATATTAATTTTTAAATATTCAGTAGATTGTGAATGTAAAATGAATTTTAGCATAGATGAACTTGTTGATATGATATTTGTGTTGGGCGAAAGCGAAAAAAAATGTTTACTAGCAAGTAAACTGTATGCTTGTCGGAATCCTGAAAGAAGGCATCCTGAAGAGGTTAGTTTTAGAGAGAGAAGACTCTTTGAAAGATTTACTGATACTGGAAGTGTGATCTATAAAAAAGAGGAACGAACGAAGCATGTCACCAACGAAGAAAATTAGTTAAATATACTTTTAACTGTAGAGGAAAATCCAAGTTCGTCTCAAAAAGAAATCAGCGCAGCAACTGGCGTAAATGAAAGAACGGTTCGGAGAATATTAATAAAATATCGTTACCATCCTTACCATTACCAACTCCATCAGAGCCTAACAGAAAACGATTTTCAAAATAGAACGGAATTTTGTAATTGGGCAAGATTTAAAGTACAAGAAAATGCTATTTTTTAACATTGAAAATGTTTCTGTTATCCTATATAAGGGAGCCCAAATCGAATTAAAATGCTACATTTGCCACACCATGACATCATATATACAAGGGTATAGGAAATCTCGGCGCAGCGGCGGCAGTCGGCCAGCGCGCGCAAAAACCATTACATCGCTAATTGTTTATTGATATATCTTTATTAGTTTAAAAGCAAAAAATATGGGGTTTGCTTTGATACCTTTTCAAGACATAAGTGAAACTTTTAAATTGTTTCTTTTTTTCATTTAGGCCTTCGTTTTTCGTTAAATGAAAGTTATATTAAAAAAAATCTATTTTTAAACCAAATTTTCGCATGATTGAAATGATTATTCATGTTTAAAGTTTTTTTTGGTCATAAGCGCTAATGGAAATGTTTTTTTGTAAATAATTACAAAAAATTACTCCCTACAAAGACTTTATTGTGTACTGGATCAAAAAATAAGTATTTGTTTTCTCTATACGGTGGTATTAATATATCGATTTTTGATGATAGCGCCCTTTTACCCGGTCTAATTTTGTACTACTTTCGGAATAAGGGTCCCCTTATCATGTACTGTACTTCCATCCCTAAAAAATTCAGCTTGTGACACCGAAGTGAGAGGTAACGTATAAGTATAATAGTAATAGTATAATAGTAATGGCTATATTATGTTATAACACATACATATGTACTGAATGTACTTATTTTAACCAATGCATTGTTTTGTTTTTTTAATCTCACAAATAAGAAATGTTTTATAGTTTTTATTATAAAAAACAGTGATTATACAATTTATTTACACCCCTTACACTGTTTTCTGTATGGGGTGTAACCAGGAGTATATTTCGTAACCTCTTACGATCTAAGATGGCACAAAGAGTTTTATTACTTAATGCTTAAAATTTAATAATATATTTGTACATAAAATAAAATAGACTAGAAAGTCAATTAATTAATATTGACGTAATTACTAAATAAGTACAAGATTTTTTTTCTAATTATTTTATTGTATTTTTAGTCACCTAATTATAAAGGAGAGATATCCAACCATTGCATTATTTTACTCACAAATAAATGTTTTATGGTTTTTATTATAAAACAACGATTGATAATAAATTACACCCCTGAACCCAAACACTCCGAGGAGGATATTTCGTGACCCCTTATTTAAAGTGGACAAGCTTTATTAGTCAATGTTCTAATTACCCAGCGTCCTTAATAAAAATCTAATGTAATTTTTTTTTCATAGAAATGATCTGACATAAAAAGCAAATTTTATCAAAAAACTTTTTTGATTATCTACAAAGGAGTAAACCGCTGACAAATGTCTGTATACTAATGCCAAAAAATTCAAATTAAATACCAAAATTTCTCATATAATGCCCCACTAATGCCAAGCTGATTCCAATATAATACCACTAATACTACGAATAATATGTAACACATTTGTTTCACGCATTAACCTGTAACAATACTGGTAGGTACGTGCACAGATTTTTTCCTAGGTAACTTAAAAGTCGTTAAAAAGTCTAATTATATTTAAAGAAGATATAATTCCAACAAATTACATTATAAGGCCAATAATGCACAAGTAATACCATTAAAATTTTAGCGTTTTTAACTTGTGTAACATATTTCTTTAACGAATTAACCTGTAAAAATAGTGGTAGGTACGCGCACAGATTTTTTCGCCAGGTAACTTATTAAGTCGTTAAACAGGCCTATAAAAGCTATAACAACATAGGTAACTAATATTTATAATTTAATTCGAGTTTTAATCTCAAATAATAAATGTTTTACTGGTGTATTTCTGAAGTGTTCATTATTAAAAGTAGATATTCTTCAAGTTATGCGAAGTAATAAGTAATGTTTCCGGTGAGACCGCGTATATGTCACCGGATTCTGGTTAGTATAAAGACTTTTTCTATAGAAAGAGTTTTTTCTATATTTTCCTTTCAAAATAAGACTAATTTCTCCTTATTCTTTTAAATATTACAGTGTTTCTTTTTCCTAAAATGTTATACTTAATTTTCGCGTAATTTGTGTAACATATTTCTTTAACGAATTAACCTGTAACAATAGTGGTAGGTACGCGCACAGATTTTTCCGCCAGGTAACTTATTAAGTCGTTAAACAGGCCTATAAAAGCTATAACAACATAGGTAACTAATATTTATAATTTAATTCGAGTTTTAATCTCAAATAATAAATGTTTTTACTGGTGTATTTCTGAAGTGTTCATTATTAAAAGTAGATATTCTTCAAGTTATGCGAAGTAATAAGTAATGTTTCCGGTGAGATCATGTATATGTCACCGGATTCCGGTTAGTATAAAGACTTTTTCTATAGAAAGAGTTTTTTCTATATTTTCCTTTCAAAATAAGACTAATTTCTCCTTATTCTTTTAAATATTACAGTGTTTCTTTTTCCTAAAATGTTATACTTAATTTTCGCTTAAAATTAAAAAATCACCAAATGGAGGAAAATATACGTTATTGAATAAAGTTTATACAAATCACTTTACCATAACAAAAATCATGGCGGAAGATATTCAAGTGGCATTTCACACATTTATCTATTAAATTCGAGATTAAATAATAAACTTGCATAACATGTTATACACGAGATCGTTTCAGAATCGATTAATACGCAATAAGCTACGCAGTCAACTTATTCCTATGCGCGGATGAGCGTCTTCAAGACTCTTCCTTCGGCCAGGGTCACGACGCCGCTGAAGAGGAATCGGCCTACGTTTGGCTAAACAGGTTGGACACGGTGGAGTACGATATTGGCGAGTCTGAATATTTATAAAAATTTGCAAAGTAAAATATGTTGGAAAAATAATTAATCCATACATACATATATAGAGTGATATTTAATACATACATACATATATAGAGTTATATATATATATATATATATATATATATATATATATATATATATATATATATATATATATATATATATATATATATATATATATATATATATATATATATATAAGATATTTTAGAGTGAGTTCATGCCGCCAGTTTAACATACATAAATATTAGCACAAAGGTTCGTTTAAACGACATTAGTGAATTAGCTACACAAAGCCATTTTAGGAAATTCATCCTCTTAGAGAATAAAATTATCTCGGAACAGTTTGTTGTATGAAAATTCCTTACTATTTGGTCTAGAA